TTTCACTAGGATGCCCAGTAACCTAGGATTAAAGAGGGCCTCCCCTTTTTTGGGTATTGAATACAACCCTAGAGACTTCCAAAAGGGAAGAAGGGCTCAATGGGAGACCCGGTATACATGTAAGGACATCGGAAACTCTGAGAACTGCAATTCGGAGTGCTGCGAAGGTAGCAATTTGGGCTTCCCTAAACCCCCGGATCCCAAAAAGCACAAGCCCTAACTGAACCCCAAATATTCCGCCTAAGGACAGGAAGTCATCACAATTAGGAGCCAAAAAGAAATAACATAGGGGCCTTCATAATTAGAAGGGTTTGGGGTACATTATACTTGCCTTCTAGGCTTTTCACAACAGTGCATGATCCGGAAGTCTGGAAGTAGACCTGCCTTTGCTTTTGCGGCTTCAAAGATTCTGGGACTTCGTGACGTCTCTTCTAGAAGTTTAGGGTTTAGGGATCGAGTTTGGGGTTGAGGGTCGAGGGTCTAGAGCTTATAAGGGCACAAGGATTCCGGGGCTCTTCGTAAGTTCTCTGTTAAGGGCCTTGCAGAGCTTTGAGAAAGTTTATTGTGGTTCGGGACCGTTTAGGGTTGTTTAGGGTTTAGGGGGCTTATCGCTGCCCGAGTGACCTACGCAATATCCTATCTACAACACTACTTTCATCCTAGTGACTAGCTACACTAGAAGACTCTTCAACATCATGGAAGCACCCCAGGATGGACCCTATGCAAGACGCCGTGATCCCTAAACCCTAAATCCTAAACCCTAAAATAATTGGGGTCCTTTGGAATCTGCTTGCGGGGCCTGTGCTTCGAGACTCGACGGTGGTCTCGGTGTTCAGTTTCACATCCCTAATGCCTACCTTGAACGACCAACACCTCAAAACCTACATCAGGCTTTTAAAAGAAGCACCTCCAACAAACATACTGTAGGGGCCTTTACAATTAGATTAGGGTTTGGTGTGAGATTATACTGTAATTATAAGGAACACCCAAAATAATATAGGTAATCATTCAGGCCCCTATGGTACGCTCTGGTTGTGGTGGTTTCAGGTATAACCTAAACCCACGGGCATGACTTGGGTGTGAATGGAGCGCGGAGCCCTCAACTGTTGGGTTGAGGCTTTATACGGTTTACGATTTAGGGGCTTGGGTTTAGGGATTCAGATTTAGGGTTTAGGGTGTAGGGCGTTTAGGTTCAAGCAGGGTTGGGATTTCTTGGGTTTTGCAACCATTCACTCACTTCTCGACTTGCTTGCTGAGGCCAGCACATGGAGACGGGCTGCTTCTCATCATCCATGGTTAGCTGCACCGTCCTATACCGAGGCCCGGTTGAGGATTGCAGCCAAAGAGCGACTTATATGACACAAGGTAAGTACAAGTAAACAAATACGATTTTGCTATTAATCAAATGTTGCAGTGATAGGAACTCACATAAACACGGGCCACTCCGGTAGGGAGCCTTTGCTTCGCTCAGGTTCGCATCATGGAAGGCAAGAGAGAATCCGAAATCCGCTTGCAAACAGCACCCGGATGCTTCAGGCAATTCGGGATTCCTATACGATATGTGTGGGTACTTGAATTAGGGTCCCTTTTTCGTCACCAAGCTAGTACGGCACATTTACAAACGGGACCCTAGTTTAGAGAGCTACACATATAGAGCCACGCTACCAGGATCCTCAACATAACGACCCCCAACAACAAGACCCTGTTAGGCACCCCCAACTTCTATCAAGATCAATCCCAGTTCAAGTACCTGAAGGCTCGAAAACACGAAGGACGGTACTTTGAGATATTCGTCGCACAACCGCGTAGATCTTGCAAAGTATTAGCACCTACGGTCTGCCTGCAGGAACGGATGGATTCAGGGTACGGGATTACGGGATGTTAACGGTCTGACCAAGTCAAGGTAGTTAGGCAAGTCCTTATGCTCAGGATTTTGGGGTTTATAAGCCCTAAATCCTAAACCCTATTTTGGGATTTATAAGCCCTAAATCCTAAACCCTATTTTGGGATTTATAAGCCCTAAATCCTACACCCTAAACCCTAGAGTTCACGGTTTGGGGTCCCAGGGCTGAGGATTCAGGCCCGGTTTCGGGCTGTGGGGTCGGGGGTCTAAATTTGAGTTCCCTTTGTCACACGCCCTTGGTCGGGAGCGCCCAAGACTTGGGATTTAGGGTTTAAGGGTTTGTTCATAGGGTCTGTAATTAGATGATGTATGCGGGTACTTCTCTAAATTAGGCTCCCTTTTAGGGTCCCTTTTTTTCATAGGGGTGCCGTAATGCTTTGGGGACCTACAAGGGGGGGGGGCCTACTTTAGAGAACTACCCATGTAAGTCTTGGCTCAACTTGGCTTGTGAAGCGAGGGCCTCTTCTCGAGGTCCTTCCTATGCGAGTGGTGTAGCTCTTCCTATTTCGGGTGGCTTAGGGTTTAGGGCTTAGGGCTTAGGGTCTAGGGTACGGACTCTAACTTAAGCAAAGATCTACCGATATGAGGCCGAGGCAAACTCCCCAAGCTCAAAGGCCCGAAACCTCGACGATGCAACAAATAATGGGGGCCTTGAACAGCTAGTAGCGAGAGTATTGTATGAGGAGGGGGCATATTCTCGTATCATTTTTTGCATGACAAGGAACCCAAAGGCAGTATCTTACTACTAAAAGCTTTACATCCTAAACTCCCTACATATCAGCCGCTAACCGTCGCAGGGGCTGTCCCTGCGTCGTCGCGCGGCTCGTCTGTGCAACCTGACCGAAAGCTCACACGGCTCATGGACGCCTCTGTGCTAGACCAGCCTTCCTAGCAAGAAAAGGGTTTAGGGTATAGTGTTATAGTATCTTTCTACAATACGAAACCCTCACGAATCATATGGGCAAGCCTGCATCCCGACAGAGCCCAACACCATTTTCAAGTGTTCCACGTTGTAGGCTTAGGGCTTAGGGCTCCTTAGCGTTCTGCAATCTCTGAACAAAGATCTCGGGAGCAAGAGGAGCCCAGACTGGCCTGCAGGCTCGTAAGAACCCTGGAGCCCTCAACTTTAAACTCGCGGTTTGCAGTGCAAACTGAGGCCATGACATGTCTGACCCATCAGGTAGTACGATGTCCAACTGTATGTACGTGGAGTCGTGGTGGCATTTGCCTCAGCTGCAGAACATCAACATGACACGGCAAAAGCTGCTGTGCTGTTCCTGCCAGCAAAACGACGCAACTGGCTATAAACCGAATAACGAAGCTATCAGAACAGACTCTCTCTCTCTCTCTATATATATATATATCTATATATATATATATATAAAAGGCAATTCGAGTGGGTTGTGCGCGCCGCTTGCATCTGTACGCAAGAACTCTTCAGGGCTTTGAGGTTCCTCACCAGGACGATAGGGAGTCCGTGCCACCCCTCCGAAGTCGATACTGCAAAGCAACTTGAAGACATAAACGTCCCTACAAGAAGGGGGGGGGGTCTTGTCACAGAAGAACCCTCATAAAACCCTAAGCCCTAAACCCTAATTCGGATCCTCAAACCCCAAGCCCTATAAACCCTAAGCCCCTAGGGCCTAAACCCTAAACCCTCTTCTTGACAGGATCCTCGGGCTTCGGAAGTGATGTGAAGGGGGGGCCCAGGGTTCTGAGATCGCAGCTGCCCGGAAGGCAGGTAGCCAAGTGCTCGAGCCGAAACCGACATGACAAGCGGAACAAACCTCGTGCTCAGAGCTGCATTGCTGCTGCTGCGACTGCCCGGGAAGGATCGAAACCTGAAGAAGCGAAAGCACCGCGGCAGACCCTGGGCCCAAAGAGCTGAAAATGCTTCCAAAGAGAGAACCTCTATGTAAACTTAGACTTTGACACTGCAGCAGAGAATGCCCCTGTCCAGTGCGTTGACGGAGCCCTGATGCTACGAAATGGGAGTTTCCGAAAATTAGGGGTACCTTATTTTGGGTTCTTATAATAAGGATCCTATTATGTAGGGTACTATATTAGGGTCCCCTATTTTCGGAAACTCCCAAATACAGCCAACATCTCTGGGAGCCCTTGCCCGCGGAAGCCTGCTTTTTGTCTCTGGCAGTGAGAACGATCCGAGCGAAGCGGGTTGGGGTAGCGCAGAGTGCAGCGGCGATACAGTTTGCTTCGCAGCGAGGTCGACCTCAGCAGCCAAGCTGCTGACGGGGCACTTCTCGAACTTGAGATGAGGTTTTCGCCAAGCAAGTTTCAGTGTCTTGCTGCAACAAACTCCCACGATGCATCTTCATCACCGATTCCAGGATTGTGCCGCGCGCCCGAATGGGACGGAAGCTTGATCTCGAAGGTCGGCTTTCTGGAGTCGCTAGCAAGGGCTGCCGCCCTCCAATGCCCGGAGGCGATCAGCTTCCTCTAATGCGTTGCGCAGGGCGCCCAAACCTGAGGAGATGGGTGGGTTTAGGGTTTAGGGTTTCCGGTTTAGGGTTCAGCCGGCAGGGCTTGGTTGAATGGGTCCCGGAAAGTCCTCGCTTTTGCTTGATCGTGTCGCGGCACTATTTAGAATGCAGCTTTTGCGCAAAGTCTACTATATCTATGTTGAGGCACGCCGGGGAATTATATTGGTGATATATTGAGGCTCCCATTATTACCGTTATTTGTCAAACTGCACATCGATCCCCCCCCAACAACCCCTCCCAAGAAATGAGGGGGGCCTTCACAATGAGACTAAGGTTTTGGGGTATACCATACTATGATGACATTAAGGAACCGTCAGGAATAGTACTACTAACTGTTGATTTTGGGCCCCTATGCCACCTATGCCATGGTATAACTACATATGGGCTGTAAGGCGATACGACTGCTAATCAGAGCCCGGTATATCTTTCTTGTCGACCTTTGGGGTTATATCCGGATTTGCCTCAACAGGCCTCAAGGATACCCAAGCAACCTGAAGATATTACTCCACACCTTAAACCCCGAACCCCCAAAGCCCTGTATTAATTGAACCAAAGAGCCCCTAAACCCCAAAAGCCCCCACCAAACCCATGACACCCGGAGGAGGGAAGCTCCGGAAACCGAGGAAGGTCGCAAGCTCATCCAGGCACCCTTCAACGCATCAGGCTCTTCGGGGCTTCGGGTTCGGGATTTTGGGTGTAGGGTTTAGGGGTTAGGGGTTAGGTATTAGGGGTTGGAGGGTTTAGGGCTGCAGGGGTTTAGGGTTTCAGGTTCAGAATGCACCTGTCCCTAGCTGGCCCAGTCCCGAAACTACCTAGGGTTTAGGGTTTAGGGTTTAGGGTTTAGGGTTTAGGGTTTAGGGTTTAGGGTTTAGGGTTTTAGGGTTGCAGTTCCATTCTTTGGTTTGACCAGTTTTAGTGTTAAGGACTCTATAAGCAGTAACCTCAAAAAGGAACTACGATGCAGACTGCAGGTCATGTAGGGGCCTTAATAATTCGATCAGGGTTTTGGGGTTATTTTATTGTAACACTGCAATAAGGAAGCCCCAAAATGGTATAGGTAATTATGAAGGCCCCTATATTATGTTTAGAAACCCACAGTAAAGTCCGAGACTCTGTTTCCGTCTTCCGACTGGCGCAGAGCAGCTTCAGAGCCGGGTCGGTGTGTAGGCGTACCCAGGCTCTTTGTCAGCAAGAAGCAGCTAGTGACCTGATCTCGATGGACTTGCTAACTAGGGTCCTTTTATAAGGGTGCCGTACTATATTTGGGACCCAAAAGGGGACCCCAATTTAGAGAACTACCCATGTGCAGAGGGGTAGATGGAGTATTTAGAATGAATCTGAAGTTCTTACGATAGGGGTAAAGCCGCGAACCCTAAATGCTTGACAGCAGGGTTTACCTGCTCTGGACTGATGTAGCGTTGAGGGCCCCGGGGGCTTTGGGCATATGTTGATCCTCGTCATGCGTCCTTGGTCTGCTCCCGCGAACAAAGATTAGGACTTGAACACCTGGGGTTTGGGGTGTAGGGTCTATTGAATAGTTTTCTGTGTCCGGGTTCCGATTCGGCCTCCGTGCAAGTCTGTTACGATGACGAGGACTACTGTGGCGAGTGCTGCGGCTGCTGCTCAAAACTATCATGGCTAGCCCTTCTGCTGCAGCCTACTGTTACGGGGAAAAGCCGTTCGTAGAAGCTTGCAGCCCTGACCCGCACCCCTAACCTGAAGTACAGAAATTTACACCACAAAGCCTTGAACCTTGCTTGTGATCCCTGTCTTTCCAGTCAATCTCCTGCCTTAGCCATGACATCAAGAACCGCGTACTCGGCTAGCATCTGCGGCTCGCTTGCAGCGTGGCTGATGCCCAGGACCTTGTTGGGGGCTGGTGGTGTCGGAGAGAGGGGGTTTAGTGGCTTAGTGCGTGGAGTTTAGCGTTGGGTTTGCTGTGTTTTTGTAGTCTATGACTGCCGAGGCCAGTTCCCTCACGTCTGTCTGGACTCACAATCATGTCAATAACTTCAGCTGATGCATGGGCTCTTTTGTCCAAAACGGGTGTCACTGTCAGCAACTCAGAAACATTCCCTAAGGGTCCATGTGCCCAAATCGTATATGCCTTGGCCCCAAAGTACCTATTTCTCAGGCCAAAGTATGTACTTTTTAGGGGTACATGGATTCAGTGAACCTCCTAAACCCGAAACCCTAAAGTGAAACCGGGATCCTACTGCTGTCACAAAGAGTCCTAAGTACCTGTATGGGGGATACTTGCCCAAACCATAAAAGCAGTTCATATTATAGAAACCCTACATTCTACCATATAGGTACTTTGGACCCTTTGGGTATTGCACACAAGCAGCATCTCTCCTTTGTTCCATCGTGGCGGGCCTTTCTGATAGACTCCGCACAATCCCCAAAACCTAAGGAGCCTTCTGTGAACGACTTTCCACACAAAAATATCTATATTCAAAGCATGTTACATCCCTGAACATCCAGGCGGGAGCTCCAGCATCATAGAACCCTATAAACCCTACAAGACCATGATAACACCCTATAAGCAACTACCAGTATACCCTAAACCTCTAAACCCTATACTAAACCCTAAACGCAAGGCAGACTGTAATGGAAGCAGGCCGAGGGGCTTCCAGGAATCCACTGAAAAGCCTTGGTGCCGCAACTTCTTCAGCGAGCGATGGCATGGGAGGCAGAGTTTTACAGGGTTGAGCATGTAGAGGGGTTTGTAGTATAGGTGTTGCAGGGCCTGCAATGCCTGCAACGTGTTACAGCTTGCAGGGTCCACAACACTTATAGGGTTTGTAGGACTCATAGGGCTTGCAGGGCTTATATGCGGCCTTAACAGCGAAAAAACTAGGGTAAACCCTAAACCCTAAACCCTAAGGGTGTATAGGCCGCGGGGCATGTACAAGGACAGCAGGATACCACTGAGCTGAAGCTCCTCGGGCCGCTTCGCTGGCAACGCCTTGAGGCGTTGCAGTACCTGTCCCGGTTTGGGGGTTTAGGATTCCGGGGCTTTGTTGCAATATAGGGGCCTATACTATTTTGGGGGCTCCTTATAATAATTAGAGTATGCATAGTATACGCCAACACGCTGTTCTAGTTATAATAAAAGCCCCTAAACCCTAAACCCTTATAGTAGCCCTTATAGAACCCTCTAAGGAAGCCTTTAAAGGAACCCCAGAACCCTATTCTCATTATTAAGGCCCACTACACCCGAGTGTTTTTTGGCTTCGAGTTTCGGGCTTCTAGGAGGGACTTGTTTGGAGCCATGGGGGGAGTTCTCTAAATTAGGGTCCCTGTTTAGGTCCCCCAAATAGTACGGCACCATTTAAAAAAAAAGGAAGGGACTGCCATGGGGCCTGGGTTTTTGCACACGCCTCTCTACAAAGGACCCTAAAAGGGTTCCTAATCTAGAGAACTCCCCATGGACTTTGGAGGATTTTGGGTTGAGGGTTCAGGATTTAGGGTTAAGGGTTTAGGGCGTTTGGGTCTTACGTAAGGGTTTATTATAATTATGCAGAGTTTAGAGGGTTTCGGTCTTAGGAATTGAATTTATACGGTCTAAGATTGGGGGACACACTGTCTGGGATGCGCTCTCTGGTCGAGCGGGTGCAGTGGCTTCTGGGGCACAAACGTAGGTAGCGACGCGTTGACACTTGTTGAAGCTTCTGCTTGCGGCCACAAGACTGTGAGTACAAGAATGAAACGCTCTGCCCCGAAACACTCTAAACCCTAAACCCTAAACCCTGTGCCTATACCCTGAATTGAAGTTGACGGGTGGTGGACCGGGAGGTCGGACCATCTAAGTCCAGCATCCTAGCTGTTTGCAAGCTCTCTGTCGAGATTGGAATACATCTTTTCTTGTCAGGGGTCTACACATAAGCGGAGACCCCGAAAACCCGTTAAAAACCTTTACAAGTTCATAAAGCCCCTACACATCCAGCATCATGTCCCTACATGCAGCCCTTGATTCGTCGCCCATAGGCGCCTGGAAGGAAGCCGCAGAGATGCAAAGCGTCGCCGGAGCCAGCAAAGCGCCGATGACCATGAAATTGTCAGCCCAAATGGCGGCCCCGGTCTGCACGTTTCGGGGTTTTTGCGGTGTTTCTATCAGGGCTTCAATGGATTTCCGAAACGGGTCAGAGGGTTTGTGGATTTAGACCCTATAAGCCCTAAACCCGGAACCCCTAAACCCATAAACCCTAAACCCTGAACCCTAAATCCTAAACCCTTAGACTACGGGTTTCCCGAGGGGGTCTGTTCGCAAAATGTTAGACCTTCAGTCCCACACTCTCATGTAAGGATAGCCTCCGCACCAGTATGTCACCAAACCAAACCACGGTTTAGGCTTTAGGGTTTAGGGTTTAAGGCAACCATGACTGTGATGGTAAAGGTATTCAGGGCACTATTGTTGATTGTCAACATAAGTGTGACTGATACTGAATGTGAACAGAACTAATGCTGCTAGTATCGAGGCTGCATGATGATGATGCGGATGATGATGATGGTGGTCAAGCTGCCTTTAAAGCTGGCACTCTGGCTCGACGAGTGCCGAAAGTATAGAGGCTACACCCCACACATCCTAACTCTAATCCCAAGCCCCTACAATTACCATGCCCCGTTGCTCTGAGCGCAGCCCCAAACCGTATGTCCCTAAACCGTAACCCACCATGAACTTCTACGTTTAGAATCCGGCCCCACGTTGCCTGGCAGATCACGCCAAGCGCCGACAACCTGGCTGCTTTATCTGCGACTGCGGGCTGCATGGAGGCAGCGCCAATGCCTCGAAGCCTCTGCTGTGGGGCCTTTACTATACTTAAAGGATCATGGGACTTAGTAAGTAAGGTTATAAGTCCGTTAATTGGGGTTACAAGTATAGTTACCTTAGTTTTAACCCTACTTACTAAGTCCCATGATCCTTTACGTAGGCTTTAGGCTTCAGGGCTTCGCACTCTAAGGTTTGGGTTCCAAGAGGTAGAGGGCTTGGGGTTTGTGGTGACTGTAGTGTTTAGGGCTTCAGGGGTGCCAAAGCATGATTACATACGCCACCAGCCAAGCAAGTACACAACTAATACCAAGCGCCCATCGATCCATCTATCCTTCCATCTATCCATCTATCCATCCATCCATCCATCCATCCATCCATCCATCCGTACATGCATACATGCACACGTACATCTGTTTGTGGAAGGGCTTGCTTGCGGGGCTCAAGATCTTTTAAACTATTGCCATGGTGCCACATCGGGAGGATGACAAGATCTTGCAGGAATCGTGCCGCCAAGAATGGTGAGGAGATATGCAGGGACAGCGCAAGCGGCTGCATCTGATAGCCGGCTTCCACTACACAGACACAGAGCTGTGCAACCCCGGAGGTCAGAAGCACATTCGAAGCAGAGCTCGCCACCTTGCGTTCTTCCTGCTCATACTTCTGTGCCCTTTGGGCGATAATGGCCGAGCTGGCCAGCATGATGCCCAAAGCTCCCCAGGCCACCGGATCGAAGCTGAGAGTAGCCATGCTGAGGGCCAGGTGAGGTGTGGCTGCCGCGGTAGTCCCGACGGCCTTTGCCGACCCTGCGCAAGCAAACCAAGCCAGTCCCTCCTGAAAAGGCTCCGGCACTTTTCCGAGAAGTTGGACGGCTCCAAGCGAATCCTTCGCCAAGATCCGCATTGCATCACCCAGACTGCCAAACCAACGCAGTCTTCGAGGTTGCATCGCAACCGCCAGTTGCGTCTCTTGCTCCATAATGTGAAGTCAAGCAACACCAAATATCCTAACAGTCATAACAGTACCTAGGAAAGCAAAATGGCAGTCATGCTGAATTTAGTAGTTGTATGAAAGCAAGCGCAAGTGACCTTTCAACGTCCATAGGGGTATCGGGAGTAATGTAGGGGCCTTAATAGTTAGAATTGGGTTTTGGGGTCCTTTATAATTTAATTATAATAAGCAGACCCCGAAATAGTATTGCTAATTATTTAGGCGCCTACATGACTAAATGGCACCCTCCTCACAGATGCTTCGTCCAAAAGTCACCTAAAACCTCAAGTGGAACCCATGGAGCCCAGAAGGGACTGAGCCGACAGGATGCGGAGAAAGTGTGATGTAGGAACTCCCAAAGTACTGTAGGGGCCTTAATAATTCGAACAGGCTTTTGGGCTCCATTCTGGTCTTATTTTCGTACGGAGCCCTAGTAATGGTAATTTAGGCTTCTATATTACAGGAACCATCTGCAAAGCCCAAACAAAAGTATGGGTTCCTCCACATTACAACTTGGTCTTGACTGAATGCATAGATGCTCCACCACCTCATCGAAACCCTAAACCCTATGCGCCCTATGAACTCCATGAGCCCTGCGCACGCAAAGCCCTGAATCAACCCATCCAGTAATAGTAGGGCTTTACTTGCTGGAGCTGGGCTTGCTAAGGAATAGTGATGGTAGTTATTCTGGCCCCTCAACCCTAAACCCTAAAACCCTAAACCCTAAAACCCTAAACCCTAAACCCTATTTTAACCTCTTCTGCACCTCAGCTCTTTAGCTGCTCCGGATTTCTGGGTTTAAGGGCTGAACCCGAACACTTGAACGCTGGATTAGGGTTTAGGGTTCAACCCTAGGGCTTAGAGTTTAGGGTTTAGGATTCAACCCTAGGGTTTAGGGTTTAGGGTTCAACGCTAGGGTTTAGGGATGAGGGTTTTGGGGCTTCAGGCATGTAGGGAATATGGCATCGTAGAACTGTGCCTCGACAATTAGATCTATACTTCAGATGTTTCACGTTGCGCACACTACTTCAGACCGAAGCATGAGCACTGCATTCAACCTCTTTTCTTCTGTGATCGCCGTCCGAGAAAGCCTCTGAGGCACTTTGCTCAGGGCTTCTTTGCTCCACTCAGAGAGCTCTGTAGGTTTTTCGCGTAGTCCGAGGTGCCCTCGTTGCCTGCAAGCCAGGTGATATCGGGCCAAGGAGGACTAGCAAAGCCGTCTCCAGAAAAGGCCAGCTCTGTAATACCTGCCTGCCTCCCTACCTCCCTACCTACCTACCTACCTACCTACCTACCAACCTACCTACCTAACTACCTGCTTGCCTTCCTGCCTGCCTCTTACCCACCTAGCCAGCTACCCAGCTAGCGAGCTACCTACCTACCTCCTCTACCTACCAATGATTGTTCGCATAGATACTGTGACCAGCATTCTTCTCCAATAATGTAGGAGTACTTCGAATAGAGTTGCGAGGTGTCCTGGGGACATTCATGCAACTTATTTCGACCTTTATGTTAACAACACTTAACGGGCAGTATTCAAAATCGAACCGGCAGCGTCATGAGATTGAATGCCTCTTCAGATTCATGGGCAGCTTTTCAGTGGCGACTGTCGTAACTGTTGCGCTGTACGAGTGTTCCTCGCCCTCACTATTTTGAGAATACTGACGACTACACTATGTGACAGGACAACGCACCGCTCTACCTCCGCATTGCCAGTAAATTGTTGGAAGCAAGGGCGCAGTTCTCGAAAGCTCCATGGCAGGTCTCTGCGATATAGATATTTAAGGACAACCCCCCCCCTGTACCCTACACCTTGCAAAGGGGATATACGAGTGGTTCGGAACCCTAAACCCCCAAACCCTAAAACGCTAAAACCAAATTGATAAACTCTAAAGCCGTAAAACCCGCAACCGCTGAAGCCTAACACCGTAAACAAAAAGTCTACAGCCACAGCCCTGCAGCCCCCAAAGCCCTGAGGGTTTTGGATGCCAAGCGGCGGCTGTACTGGCTGTAGGAAGAGATTAGGCGAGGACGACCTTCATTTCTTAAGGAAATCAGTTTTGGGGCTGTCAGGGTTTATAGGGCTTAGGGTCAAGGGCTCAGAGCTTGTTTCGAGATTCTTGCCATGAACCGGGGGTTGTATGGGGGTGGGTGGTGGCTCTGGTTCCTTCACGAAATTAAGAGTTTCTCGGGCTCAGGAGCTTAGTGTGAAAGTTGCCATGACATGAGTAGCACCTTATTTCGATGCACCCTTGCTCGTAACCTGAAACAACTTTCCATCACAAGAGCGACTAAAGATCCTTGTTACTGATGGAGCTTTGGTGTACTTACAGCCCTGTGAAATAACTACTACCTAACCCCCCGACCCGTCCAAAGTAGGGTTTTGACATCTGTTCCGGGTGATTGAGGAGTTGTTGCTGCTGTTGTTGGTGCTTGTTCTTTGTGTTGTCATCATCATATTATCTGCGAAAGCCCAAGGCGAATGCAACCGGGAAGGGTCCATGAGCAAACTAAACCCTAAACCCTAAACCGAGGTCCTCACAGACCAGGGTGTTCTTGAAAGCCGGCCGCTCTGAACACGCCTCGTGCGCAGGCACAGGACCCCTCAATCCTAATACGCTGTTTGTTGGAGGTTTGAACTAAACCCCAAACCCTAAACCCCTAAACCCCAAACCCCTAAACCCTAAACCCCGAAACCCTAAACCCCCAAACTCTACACCATTCGCAGAAAGCGCTCGTAGAAAGGCTCGACGAGTTTATGACCTACAGCTAGGATGCAGCTGTGGGTGCAAACATGTGGGTAGTTTCCTAAATCGGGGTCCCTTTTCGGGTCCTTGGTACAAGGGTGCCGTACTATATTGGGGACCTAAACAGAGAACTACCCATGTTTGGTGACGTCATTCAACCCTGACCGGAATGCAGGTCTTTAGGAGGCGAAGACCCTGATCTTTTAGGGTTTAGGTTTTAGGCTTTAGGGCTGTCGCCGGATGAGGGTTCAGAGTATGACATTTGAGGGAAGCAGGGGCGCCTCATCTCAACTTTATAAGTCTTCCATCTCAGCAAAACAAAAGGGCCTGTGAGCAGCACGCCCAGAAGCCGCAACTAAAGAGGCAATCTGCACCACCAGACTACGCCTTCGACGCTGCAAGCTGAGAACCCAAAACACCCTGGCCCTAACCCCTAAATCCTAAACCCTAAACCCTAAACCCTAAACCCTAAACCCTAAACCCTAAACCCTAAACCCAAAACCCTAAACCCACAACCCCATACAGCCTCCCACCAGGACCGTAGACGGCGGAACTCCGGATCATCCGGCATTACCAAGCCTCCAAACAGTTGAAACTCATGAGCTCCGGGGTGAGACTTCTTCGGCTTCTTGAGTTACTAAGCACGATTATGTTTTTTGATGACTATATTGTTGTTGCTGCTCGTATGGTTGTTATTATTGCTTTTCTTCCTGTGGTTGCTATTCTTCATGTTATCGTTATTAATGCACTCTCATTTGGGTAAACTTGCACAAGGCACTTGGGAGTGGGCCTCAAGGGACCTGGTCGAAGGTTTAAGGTAAACTAGGCTTAGGGGTTCGGGTTCAGTGCCCTTCAGGCTTAAAAGAAAGGCCTTCAATGACGGGCCTCAAATCAAAATCTAGATTTATGTGCGTGTATGTGTATGTATATATATATATATGCATATATGTATGCACATACCGCAATGGGTACATATATGTGTGTGTGTGTGTGTGTGAATCTAGCTATATATTCATAATTATGCTAGAGTAGGGTCTAGCGATTGTGGCAGGTTCTATCGTGATTGTGTTAGGACCCTTAGGGCCTGTAGCTCCCACTTGCTCTTCATATGGGGTTCCCGAAAATGGGAGACCCTAATATAGTACCCTAAATAGTAGGATCGTTACTATAAGGACCCCCCCCCAACAAGAAATTAAGGTACCCCTGATTTTCGGGAACTCCCATGCCTATGCCTCCGCCAGCTATTCAAATAGGCAGACTGCCATGCCGTGGAACTGAAGCAGCCCACAATTCCTACATCAAGCCAGGCCCGAGGCTGAACTCCTCAGATCAGGGCTTAAGGTTTAGGGATGTAGCGTTTAGGATTTAGAGTGTAGGGTTTAGGGTTTGGGTATAGGGTTTAAGGTTTAGGGTTTTGGGGGCCATGTTTTTTCATAAGGGGGTCTCAGGAATAGTAGTTCTAGTTATTCAAGCTCGGGCCTCAGAGTTAGCTAAAACCGACAATCCTAAAGCCCATGGCCCTAAGCCGCCATTTTTTTGTCTGTCTGTTGCCTCGGTAATGGCTGCCGACCCACAGGAACCGCTGCCAGAAGGGGAACAGAGCAATGTCAACCATCGAAATGTCCTTTCTAGGCTGCGCTTATGTATGGTGTATTAACCCTAAACCCAGGCTTTAGGGTTTGGGAGTTTCGAGCTTCAACGGCACGAGTAGGATTCTCAAGTATTTTGGGAAGAGAAGCTCCTGAAGCTGTCGTTTGAACCCTTAGCCCTAAACCCTCAATCCTACAATCTATGCCGTATAGGGTTGAGGGTTTAGGGTTTAGGGTCTAGGAACCCATCGTAGACATGTTGTGCTGTTTTCGAGGGGGTTCATGGTTAATACTAATTCTATATTTATAGGCATCCGAATAATTGCGAATATCCTCTCATAGCTCTTTCAGGCTCAGGAAACCTTTCTGGTTCGATGCTTAATCCTACAAGTCAGCCATGCACCCTGCACCTGCCCCGGATCTTAAGTATTCCCAAGAACCTTACACGCCAAACCTGGGCGACAAGACGAACATTGCTAGGTTGGAACAAAATCGTGATACTTCTCAGGACAGTGATGCGCATGGCCCCAACGATCGCAGGACAACGCTGTTTCTTGGGGATTAGGATGGTCTAGGGTTCGGGGGTTCCTAAGGAGCTAGTGAGCCCTAAAGCAACGGAAGCACGCAATAGAAGATGCCACAGGCAGTCCTT